CGCGCGGCCTGAGGGGTGGGGGGGGGGGGGGGGGGAGGATATTTATAGGAGAGCTGCCTTATGCCTTTTATCCTCCTTCCTTCCCGTGTAGACTTGGCGTATGGGTCTGTGGTCACAATGAAGAACCTTCGGATGGCAGGGGGATACCTTCACTCCCACTGGCACCTCTACCCGGAGGGCATTGGGGCTCGCCAGCAGCAGGTTAGTGTGCTGCAGTAGTACTGCCTCTGACTACGATCATCAACTCACTCCCATTGCACTTAGCATTAGGGGCTGTTGTGAAAAGAGCTATGTATTTACTCAGCACCTGTAACCCTCTCAGTGCCACAGCTGTGCACTTGGCTTCAAGGTCTGAGTAAAAAGGATGTTTGAAGAGAGCCTGCCACATTGCATCAGAGGGGTGACTTAGAGTAACAAGTCTTCATTGTAGTAGCAAGACCACCCTCTATAGACGGAAGCCAAGAGGACTTAAAAATAATCTTCCATAATGAAAGTGCTGTTGTTTCTTCAAGGAAGGCTGTAAAACTTATGTTTGAACCAAATTACTTACAGGTTTCGTTGCTGTGTTTTAAAAGCACAGAATAGGACTGCTGTGTGTTGTTTTCACTCCTGCCACTGGCCTTTATGACCTTACATGGATTACTCTCCTTCTGTGCCTTGCTTTCCTCATCTGTCACCAAAGAATTTGTAAGGCTTTGCTCATTAAATTAGATATCTGTACATTTGTAAGCTAGCCATAATGAAAGTATCTGAACTAAGGGCTTCTGATTAAATGATTAAGTAATAAATCAAAGTAAAAATCAGAAATCATGTAACTATGGCTAATTAAGTAGTACAAAAATTAAATTAATTTCTTATTTTTGTCCATCATCATGCAGCTTCATAAATCTTTGCAGCTTCTGCAGCTTTCCCAGGATGTATTTTGCAGTTGTCTAAAAATTGTTCTGAGTTCCTTGAAAGAAAGTTGCCAGAGAAAAACAAGTGTTTGTTTTTTAACTCCTTTCAGTCTCTGTGGTGAGGAAGAAGTTTTCAGAAATTAAAACTTTGTCTCAATCTTCTTTTCCTGCTGTTCTTCCCAACTGGAAGTCCTAATACTCTCATGTGACATTGATGTTTATTACCATAGATGAAGATGTCATACCAAAACTGGCTCAAGGATAGGCAAAATTCAAGTACAGAGCATGCTTTATGACACTAAAAGCAGGGAAGGGGGATTTGGAGAGGACACTGATGGGAGTTTCCTTGAGGGTAAGTGGGAAAGGGTGGAGATTTCCCCCTCTGTGCTCCCTGTCCTGGAGGTAGGACAAGGGTAGGGTGCTGGGAGGTTTTGGGGGCTGTGGAAAGGGGAAAGGATTTTAGAACTTGGAGGAGATTTAGGGAGGAAAAGAAGGAGGTAGTGATCTCTCTGCCTCCTCCTTTCCCTCCTCTCCTGATGACATGACCTCAAGGTATGAGGTTCCACCTCCAGCTCTCCCTTTTTCTCCACCCTCAGACACTCCTGTATGTTCTGCCTCTCACCTACCTACTGGGCTGTCTGCTCCCACCTGAGTGGGAGGCACAGGTCTGGGACTGGGCAAGGGTCCCACCGAGCAGGGCTTGCTGCTGCCAGAAGAGGAGAGCGAGCAAAGTGGGTGCAGTTCCTCAAGCTGCTCGGGAAGGTTGCCCTTGGGAGCAGCACCTTGGGGCCAGATGGCCTCCCTGCCCATGGTAGCAGTAGGAGCAGTTACTCTGTGTGAGGCTGAGCAGGCCAGTAAGGATTAGCTGGGTAGCATGTGCGGCTTTAACAGTTGATCCCTGAATCCTTCTTACCTTGCCTGGATCTTTTGGCAGAAGTATTGTGGTTGTCACAGGCAACCTGTTGTCATAAATCTCTACCAGTGATGCCTGTCTGTAAAGCCAGTGCTGTTTCCATCTCCTGGTGCTGGTACTGGTCAGTGATTATTCAAAAAGTTAAGGTTTGGATATCCTGTTGTTGTAGAAGGAGCCTCTGAAGTAGGGTGGGAGGAGGTTAAACTGTACAGTTGGAGGCTGTTCCTCGTGATGTTTGTGAACTGCCATTAGGTTTAGTGCTTCTGAGTGGATGAGCTATACACTGAATAAAAGGTGTGATCTGGGTTAAGGAGTGGCCAGTAACTGACCTTCTAGGAGGCACTATCATAAAAGTCATCCCAGGGTTTCTTTGTTATTGGTGCATTCATTTGGGACTTCAATTTGCTGGCAAATGTGTGTGTGCTATCACCAGCTTTTTTCTTGTTTGGTAAAATAATTTATCCTGTGCTTTCAGGTCACTGCCTACTTACATAAAGATTCAAATAACCTCTGGATTATAAAGAAACATGATTCAGATACAGGTAACAAATACCAATAAAGTGCCTTTTATAACTGCTGCTTCAGTTTTTCACTTAAATATTGTGAGTTCCCTCCAGGGCAAAGTATCCTTCATGGGTATGGGTGGGAGAGCAGGAAGAAGAAGGGGAATCTGGCTCCAGGTTGATTAATGCTGTTTGTGTCTACTGTGTTTCTGGTTTTTCTCCAGATTGTACAGCTGAAGTAAATAAGCTTTTCTCAGCTGAAGGTTGCATTGACAACTTTTCAGCTAGGTAGGGCTGCAAATAACAAGAGAGGAAATTAATCTGAACTCAGTTAATATTTTGTGGAATCTGTTATTGTGGCTATGGGTCCTGGAGAAGTTGAGTCCTGGTATGTTCTGATACATTGTATTCAACTGATTTGCATGGATGCTTGCTTGGGACAAGATAAGAGTACTGAACGTGAGGATCTATGGTTTGTACATATATCTGTTGTTTTAGAATATCATCTAATGTAAGCTGAGGCATGTTTGGTCTGGCAGAGTTTCCTTTCTTCACCTGCAGCATGTGTATATAAAAATTAAGAAGAACTGTCTAAACAACAAGAAATGCAAATAACCTAGATATAACAAAATTATAATCAGTGTTGCAAGAGTAATTTTATAGTTCATGAAATAAAAAAATATATATATAGTTTTGGTGTTCAGTTAGCCTGACCAGGCATCCTCTTTATGTAAGAGCAGTATGAGCTGCTTGGAGCCATGTTCTTTGGTGTAGCCTTCAGGGCTGATCTTTAAACTAGAGCAGTGGTTTACACTAGCCTTAGAGTCGACACAAATTAGTTTGCCTTGTATTGTCTGCTTGAGGCATGAGCATTCCCAAGAAACTTTCTAAGAGCCTGAGATGTTTGTCAGTGCATTGATGTGATTAGTTTGCTTTCCTTCAGCAGATCTGTCAGCCCCCTCGAGCCCTGTGGAGTTTGTGAGGCACGGAGATATTATTCGTCTGGAACATAAAGAGTAAGGATGATTTATGGGATTCAAAGAGATTGTGTGATTGAATAGAACTGGTGGGAGATTTGTCCTGCTAGAGACTACATGGTTAGGCCAGCACAAGCAGGTTGTGTGTCAGAGGTGTCTGTATATCTGCATTTCCAGTGTGGGGTTTGTGGAGTTTTTCTTCTAGGGTTTGTTTTGAAGGGTGTCTGTTAAATGGGAAACTTTTAACAGAACCACACAACTTCATTAGAAATACCTACCTAAGCAGCAGAGGGATTTGTTCAGCTGTGTGAGGTGCAATATTAAGGGTAACTCTTCTGCAAAGAAACAATTTCAAAACTCTCATTCTTTTGCTTGTCCCTGCTCTCTTTGAGTTTTCTAGGCAAATAGAGTGTGGGGTTTTTTGTCAGTGTACTGCAGGTGTCCTGTTCCTATGTGTATAGGCAGTATCCACCGGTTGAAGTTCTCAACAACACCGAGATCACAGCAGTGAAACACTTTGAACAAAAATGTCAGCTGGTGCCTTCCCTCTCTGTAGGGCATGCCTGAGAAGAACCAGGGGAACCCTAGTGACTTGATATTTAATCTTCATCTAGTCTAATGTCACCATGCCACAGTGCTCTGTGCTGTCATGGCTTTGATTTCTTAACAGAAGCTCTAAACTTGTGAACCTGGAAATCATGTCATGTTGTATTCAGTATTGCGTGTTCACAAATAATTGCATAGTTTTCCAAAATGATTTTAAGATTTTGTCATGGTTTAACCCCAGCCAGCAACCAAGCACCACGCAGCCGCTCAGCCACTTGCCCCACAGTGGGATGGGGGGGGAATCAGAAGGGTAAAAGTGAGAAAACTCGGGGGTTGAGATAAAGACATTTTAATAGGTAAAGCAAAAGCCATGGGCGCAAGCAAAGCAAAACAAAGAATTCAATCACCACTTCCCATTGGCAGGCAGGTGTTCAGCCATCTCCAGGAAAGCAGGGGTCCATCACACGTTATGCTTGCTTAGGAAGACAAATGCCATCACTCTGAACGTCCCCCCCCTTCCTCCTTCTTCCCCCAGCTTTATATGCTGAGCATGACGTCATATGGTCTGAAATATCCCTTGGGGTCAGCTGTCCCGGCTATGTCCCCTCCCAACTTCTTGTGCGCCCCCAGCCTCCTTGCTGGTGGGGTAGGATGAGAGGCAGAAAAGGCCTTGACGCTGTGTAAGCACTGCTCAGCAGAAATGAAAATATCCCTGAATTATCAACACTGTTTTCAGCACAAATCCAAAACACAGCCCCATACTAGCTACTGTGAAGAAAATTAACTCTATTCCAGCCAAAACCAGCACAGATTTGAAAAAACAAACAAACAAACAAAACATTGAATTTGGGGTGTTACTATCAAATATATGATAATGAAGGCGATAAAATCTTGATTAGGCAACACTGATTAGGTCTTGACTAGGTTTCCAGAATGGGAGGTGAAACTGCAGTGCTGCAGCAAAGATCCAGCAGATGGCTCTCATCTCCTTGTGTATGAACCTTATGCAGTGTGGGCAGCCGGTTTCTGTGCAGATAAGGCTGGGCTGGATGCAGCTGTATTGTTGGTGGGGGTGGTTCATTTTCTGAGTGTTTTTATGAAGGACTGACCAGGATATGGCTAGGTTTTTCTGGTTGCCTCAGTTAGCAGTCCCTGCTGGGGCAGGAGGCTGTTTGTCTGCACCGTGTATAGCTGGTGCTGATGGGGGGTCAGTGATTACCACCTCAGTAAATCTGTGCCTGACTAAATGGTACAATCTTTCCCCTCAAAAGTGAAATTGATAATCAAGAGAGGTCAGAATATTGCTTCCTGCAAGAGCAGGACTGTCCCACCTTTACTCTTCATTTAAAAAAAACCCAAACCCAACAAAAACCCAAACCAAAACCAACAATGTTTTTTCTGCTTGGAGGTGGTGGATTGTAGCTTGAGGGTTGGATTTCTGCATGCCGTCCTCCTTTTCCAGCACTGCCCAGTGTGGCATAAGCTCAGAGTTGCATGGTGGGAAGTGGCAGTTACTCTCTGTGGCCCCCGTCGCTGTTAAGGCTGCATCCTGCCCTGCCCTTAGCTGGAATTCAGTGGTCAAAGTGCTGGCAGCTCTCTGAATGGCTCAAACGAAAGTTCATATCACAAATTTACTGAGACATAAAAACAAAACAAGGTCTGACTTTAAATTTCGTTTCAGAACTTCTAGAAATCTTCACAGTCACCAGCATGAGGCTCCCCTGACAAGGAAACATTTTCAGGTCACTGGCTATGGAATAGTAAGTGAATGGCAAGATAAAACAAAAGCTCCTTCTTTTGGGGAGAGTTCATACCATGCCAAGGGGATTTATTCTTGCTTTTTTAGTTTGTTAGCCAAGGTGATAGATGTACATCTACCATACTGGAGGAAAAACTGATCTGGTATGAAATAGCTTATCTCATATTTAAGGTCTATTTAATGTGAACACAGACAAGGAAATAATTTAAGCTTTTACTGCCAGTCTAGGTTTGGCAGCATTCAACTCCAGAAATGCCAAATTGAGCAACCTTGAAGTTGCTCTGACAAGTATTATTTTATGTATTTGGCCTTGTCACATAGACAAGTGCCTTTTTTTGACAGAACGATGACAGAATTTTGAATCATTAAAATGAAATCTGCTTTGAGGGCTGAATTTCCAAACGCAAGGGGCTGTTGCCTAAACCCTTTTGTGAAGCAGCCAAGTTACCCACGTTTAAAAAGTAACTCTGAGCCACAGTCAAGTATGAATTGGAAGCAAAAAAATTTAAGGTTGGCAAGATAAAAATGTATTTGAGTAGTTGCTCATGTCTAGAATCATCTCTTCCTGATGGGGAATCTCTTGTGTGAAGTCTGAACGAGAGTAGCCCGGGTTCCTTTGTTTTGCTTTGCCACCATTAGAGTTTCAGAAGTTCCTATCTGCAGTGCTTCAATCCTGTATGTCTTCTAGTTTTTTTGGTTTGGTGTTTTCTTGTTTGTTTGTTGTTTTTGTTTGGGTTGTTTGTGTGTGTGGTGGTGTCTTTTTCTAGTCCTATGGTATGTTTTCATGATAGAATGGAACAGGAGACTCCAATGATTTCTGGCGGATTGAAGTGGTGGGCAGAAAGACTGGGAAGCTCATCAAAGTCCTACGGAGTCAGGTCCGGCTAACCCATGTGGCCACAGGGTGTATATTGGGCTCTTCTGGAAAGACGCTGCCAAAATGGTAAATAGCTTGTAATCCCCCTCCACCCTTGCACAACCTTGAGCTGACATGTTTCTTTGTGCAATGGTACTTTTAAACTAAGCAATAACCACATTTCTTCCATTTATTTATCTTTAAAAGAATAAAAAAGTAACTAGCAGGTACTAAAAATATAACCAGAGGGGAAGATCTGGGTTAGGGTTATGCAGCCTGTTACAGTGAAGGTATACAGCTCTGAAAAATAATATCCCTTACTAAGAGATCCAGGAGTGGCATGGGCGTAGATTTTTGTCATCTGGTAAGTCCAGGAAGCGATGACAGACGTGTTCTTCAAGGCCCATTTTATTCTTGGGGTTCACAAAAATTGCTAGAAACTGGGGCAGTTCATGCTGTTCCTTACCATAATCCTCCAAATTTATTTTTATTTCATTAATTTATTTTGTGGTTGGAAGACCTTCTGCCATTTTTGCATGCAGTGTCTGAAGAGAAGGCAACAGTAACAAGCTGCTATTAGCAGGGGTTGTGATTTAATATGTCCTTGAATTATATATCTTCATCATTAAAATGAGGTGACATCCAGACTAATGCCACAAAGCTGTATCTACAAAGCTGTACTGTGTGGGATGCTAACATGGATCCTGAAGCAGCAGGCTGTGCACTCATGTTGCTTTTGTTTCCAGAGCAGCCTCCGTTACTGCTAGCTTAGGTTTCCCTTCACTGTGTTATGGTAAAAAGGGCTTCTAAGGAATCCTGTGGATGCTGAATCATAGTGAGTGCAGGCAGATACCTCTGGTGACTGCCTGCTCAGGAGTGCAAGTGCCAGTTAGACTTTACCAATAAAACTGGGCTCATGGGTAAATAATATGATTGGTTTTAAAAAAAACAAATCACCGCCTCTGTCAACAGCATTCAAGAAAGGGGCTATTTTCCCTGCCCCCCCAACACAAACTTACCCTGTGAATGAAGTTACTGCCACAAAATATTGATGGCATTGAGAGCTGAGAGGAAAAATACTTGTTAACTGCAAATAAGGATGGTTAGAGTATATTGGATTTTTTTTTTTTTAAGGAATTTAAAGGTGAGTAATCACTGTCCTTCCGAGAATTAAGTGTTGATTAATTAATGGAATTAATTAATTAGTGGAGTTAAGTCTGCTAAGTGGTGATTGGTAGAAAATTCCTTATTAATCTGTCACATTACTGCAGGGTCTGATGCACTTTCTCCCAAAGTGTTTGATGTGACCTGCTAGAAGTAGGGTGAAAGACTAAATGAACAGTTGGTGGCATCCTCTAAAGTAATTCTTTTGTTTCTGTAATGCAGTTGCTGTAGGCATAGATTGACTTAATTTAACGATGGTGATTTTCTTCTGGAGAGACTGTAAGGATTGACTTGAAGTAGTCTTTAGTTGTTGATGTGCATCATCTTCAAAAATCCCACTGCTTGTGTATGGACCTAGGTTTTTTTTAGTTTAGATGCCCAAAGTTAGAAATGTGGTTCAAATATTCAGTAGAATGTTGATGTTGGCTGTCTTGCAAATCTCTTTTGGTTTCTATGTGGTGCTTAGAGCATGTAAGAGTATGTAAGTATGCAGCTGCTGGGGTTGGGTGGTATAGTAAGTCTTATGAGAAAGTATAAAGCTAAATGGGGAAAAAATCAGACATGAACTGAAAGTACTGAGTCATCTTTTGTGGGGTGGTGGCTAACTGTTCTGCTGTTCCTCAGGGGTTGGGAACAAGTGGAAGTCACCTGCACACCATACCTGAAGGAGACTCCCAATTCCCTCTGGAACTTTGAAGATCATATTAACCCTAAGTGTAAGTCATTTATTTCCTTTTCCTTTGAGAGTGCATCTCGGCTTGCTGTTAAAGGAAGGGGTGAGCTATCAGATGGCAAGAATTCAGTGTTTGGAATTTGTGTGTTCTTTCCCAACTCAAGCACAACTTTGCTGAACTTGGGCCAGTTGTTCAGAGACGTATAGCCTTTTTCTACTTCACTGTTTGTACTTTAAGTTGGTGATAATGCTTCAAGTGTAGTGGAAGTATAAAGACTTTAAGGATTTTGAGATCTTCATGGGTAACAAAAGTGTGAAGTTTTATAGGCACTCCAGTACAGGCTGTTATTTTTGACATCATTGGTTTAATTGGGAATTACTGTCATCGATACGAGTATGTTGTATATACTTCAATGATTTTTTTAAAAGTTAGGATCCACCCTGTTCTGGTGTATTTTTTTCCCTTCTCTTACCAGGGGCATGCTAAATCATGACTTTGCAGTACCATCAAGAAATGAATAGAAGTGTGATAGAGAACTAAGTTTGCCAGTAATGACAGATGGGCCTTGCAGCCTCATCCAGGAGTTAGATATGTGTTACAGCCTCATTTGGCCTGAATTATTCGATATAATTTTCATCCCATGAATTGCAGATGACTTGGGCTGAGTTCTGAGTTATTAAAAAAACCTAGTGTTCATCCTTTCAGAGCGACTGTATGCAAACCAAAGGAGAGAAATCCTGGGCTGTTGACTTGATAGAGTTTCCTTGTCTGTTGTAATGCATTTTACATTCCCACACTCATGGCTCATTTACAGATAAACAGCAGCCTATGAACAATATGTCTCTAATTTCAGCTAGAAATACAAATCTGTTTATTTCATGGGCTTTTGTCTATTTCTCTTGCTCCTGGAAGTAAAGGAGGAAATCAGTACATCAGTTGTGAAATTCACTGGGGGATACTTTTGACTGCAAGCCTCTGTGTTTAGAATATGAATTAATTGCGTAGGAAATTTAAAAGAGGTGCTAGAAGCAGATTTGTCACAGGAGGAGAGAGTTTAGTTTATTATGAATGAGGCAAATAAAAGTAAACCATACAGACTTCTAATCTATTTTTCTCTCTTTTTCTAAAGTGCCCAATATCAGCCTGGATGTCTTGAAGCCCTCTTTTGCAGAAATTCTGCTAGAATCCCACATAGTTATGATCCGGGTAGGATATCATTAATTCTAGATTATAACTTTCTTCCTCCTTTCTCTTGCATCAAAAAGAAACAGCATCTTCTGAGATAATCTGGGTGATGGCTGCAAGCTAGGGCAGAATTTACATGCCCCAGCAACCTACTTGAATTTATACTTAGAAAAAGGGGTGGTCTTGCAGCTAAATCTTCGAAAGGTTTGGAAGCCTTGGGCTTGGTGCCTGGCTCTGCTGTTGGTGTGATCTAGCTACAGCCTAGTTACGTAATCCTTCCACTACTGAAATCTGGTTCTGGAAAGGAGAGTTGGAAATTTTCCCTACCCTGCTGGAAAGTTTTAAAGTTAAATTAGTATTTGTGAGGCAGCACAATAACTGTGGTCAGAGTTGGGAAAATTAGCTAAACAGGCACTTAGGAGAACAGCAAATGTTTGGATTGAAAATGGAAAACTTCTAATTTTTTTTTTTTTTTTTAATTCATTGAGGTGCTGTTTTCTGCTTTCCTCTTCCCTATTTCTCCCTGAATATAAAAAAAAAAAAAAAAAAAAGCTGGATTTAATATTTTCAAGATGGACTGCTCTTGTGGTCTTTCCCCATGATTGTTCTTTGTGCTCTTGGCCACAGCCCTTCTGCTTCCAGCTCCTCAACCCTTTGTCTGAAGAATGAGAAGTTACTATTTTGAGAAAGAGTCTAAGGTTTTATTTGCTACTGTTTGTAAAGCTCTTCTTAGATTCTTAAGAGAAAGAAGGTAGTCAAGCAAATCATTGTTAATGCTAAGCATTTCCATGGCAACCAGTGATAGTGCTGTCTCAGGTAAGGAAGTACCTGTGTGAGTTTCCATGGAAATAATCTTTCTGAGGCTTTTTTTCAGAGTGGAGGGAAACCTATCAGATTAGTCTCTTAATGAACAAAGGTCTTGCTTATGCAACATGTGTCCTCATTGACAGAAAAGGTGGAGAAGAGAAATGAGAGAATGCTGCCTCTAATGGTACCCAAAGAACATTTTCACTTGTACAGTAATATTAAAACATCCATTGTCCTCATTGTGGCCATCTCCAGAAGATGATGTGCTTATGTAGTCAGAAAACAGCTTTACTCAGGAAGAGTATTCATGTATGTTTGTGTACCCAGACATTTCTGGGCAGGCTTTGCAGCATAACTGCCTGCTCATTTAAATTTTATCTTGACTTATATGTAGGGAAACAGCGGCCTCAAACCAAAGGACAATGAAGTTACATCCAAACCTTGGCACTGGCCCATCAACTACCAGGTATATTGATCAATCCACCTTACTTCCTGTTTTCAAGTGCTTTTGCTGTGCTTCTTGAAGCATAGCACCTCTTAATGGCACTGAAGATGTTGTCAGCTTTGTTTTGTAGCACCTGAGCTGCATGGATGGGAATTTGTCTCACCTTTGACACTGTGCAAAATACAAACTGGACTGACGGAAACCCATTTACTCCCTTCTGCTCTGTTTCCTCAGGGCCTGCGTTTTTCTGGTGTCAATGAGACCGATTATCGAGTTTATTTGCTGGGAAACCCGGTAAGTCGGAGTGGGAGGTTCCAGGCCAATGTCTTTAGCAAATTTTAGCTTAGTCTTGTCTCTGCCAGTGATAATAATGCTCTTCCTCCTCCTCCTCCTCCTCCTTTTAGACTGTCTCTCTCATTGTACTCTTAAGCTTGCATGTAGCTTTTCATTTCCTCTCACATGCCTAAAGTCCCAAATCTTTCTTTTTCTCCTATGTAGGTGATTTGGTGGCTAAATCTGGTCACTATTGGGTTATATCTTCTGATAACAGTTTCCACTGCAGTGGCCCTGAAGAGAGGTGTCCAACTGACATCTGAACTGAAAGGTGAGGTCAGTCTTCCTATCCTGCCTGCGCTATAGAATCTCTATTATAACATCCTGGTTTCCTGATAAGGAAAGCTCATCTTGGGACTCCTGTATTTAAAAAAAAAAAAAAAAAAAAATCTTTTTTTACATTGCATTGAAACCTTGGGGATTGAACAAAATATGCTCAAGGCAGCTGTATGTATAAAACACTAAGCTATATAGTGCTTTGAAAGTGTAGCACTGAACGATGTGACTGTTAACAAAGGGTTCCGTACTGGAAATAATCACTTTTGTGAACAAATCTTGCTTTTTGCATGGCAGACCATTCCTGATGAGCCTTTAAGGCTTCATCAGAAATTCTGAAGTCAGCAAGGGCCCTGAGACACCTACTTAGCCAAAGAGAAGAGCTCTGGAAGTGACTCACAGGCAGAAGATGTGATCAGTGGCTCCTCAAAAGTCTTATGCTCCTTTGCTGGAGATTTCAGAGCTGCTCTGTGTATAAGCTGGCATCTTAAGGTGATCCAAAGATGAGTCTCAGTAGGCTTTTCTGCCTTGTTTTCTGGCAGGAGACAAGGGCATGGATTAGTCAGTAGCTCTCATGCCAGCTCTGCTTTGCAGGTGCTCACCCAGCCTACCATGGGAGTTGCATATGAACTGCTGAAGAGCCAAGATGCTGGCCACAGTTGCTCTCAGTTACATTGATTACTGCAGCTCACAAATGACCAGATGTATATCTGTTGGAAAGACTATAATTGATCTGGACATATCAGTAGGAGAAGGTGACAAAACCTGTGTCAGGGAAACCTTCCTGTTGCAGAGGTCTACTGGTCCCATGGTTTTTTAGCTTGTTCTGCTTAGCAGGCTTCCAAGTGTTTTTTCTAGTAGAGATACTTATCCCACACATGTTACTGATAATAGGCTTCCTTTTCATAAATGCCTTTTGCAGGCACCTTAAAATTGTATGGATGGCAGGACTTTGTGTGCCAAGAGTGGGAAACCACTGAGCTTCAGTTATCAAGTAATGTCTACAAGAAAAAGAGTGGGAGCTTCATATCTCAAATAGTTTACTAGTGAACAGAACAGATCTTCAACAAAAACACTGCAAGGTGCTACCTGTATTGGCTGTAAGGGAGACAGACCAGTTGGATTAATGCCCTGCTCTCAAGCTCTGCATGTGCTCTGTAGTATGCATGGCATTTTGAAATGAGAAATGTTTCCCAATATTTATGCAAAGCAAATGACAAATGCAAGAGATGCAATGGTCCTTTATTATGTCCAATGCCAAGGTTATAGAGCTTTTCACAAACCCTAATAAGTCATACTTTGACCATTCCAGTTTACATCAATGGTTGCTTCATTTTGTAGATCCCTTTGTGGGAAGTGAATTCTAAAATGTGATGTGAAACTATTCAATTACATAATAAGTTATTGGCTAAACTGCATGCGGACACCAGAGCTCTCAGTCCCTTCCCCTGGCTCTGAAAGCTAGGCAACATTTCTTTCCAGGAAAGGCTGGCAAAGTGATCATGTGGATGGCTTGTAGTCTGCTACAGAGAGAATAAAAACCATCAGAAACTGGAATGGCCTCATTAGTCTGATGTATGTCCTGAGAAACTGTAAGTTTGGTGTTAACATAGAGCATGGTCAACCTCCTGCCAGTCCCTTGAGACTTATGTCTTTGTATATCTTTTCTGATAACTGTTCTCCTGAAAAGTGTTTGTATGTTTATAAAGAATGCAGCTAGGCTGTTGCAGATGCTTGGAGCAATTTCAGACCAGTACATGACTTCCTGCAAAGATCATTCCTGTTGAGTTTACTTAATGTGATAAGGTTTGCAAATAGGAATGGTGGGTGAGTTTTTCCTCTGCTGAAGTCTGTTTATTTGTGTTCCAGAACTGTCCAGAGTCGTGCTACGTGGTGGAGGGCAGATCACGCTGGGCTGGCTCCTTCATTACCTCCCTTTTTTTATGATGGGACGAGTTCTCTACTTTCACCACTACTTTCCTGCCATGCTTTTTTCCAGCATGTTGACAGGTAAATACTAGAGTCTGAGAGAAGACAAGGCAGGGAAACCGGTGAAATTCTGTTAAATGGAATGTTTTCAGACTAAATATTTTTTTATAGATTTTCTGCTTGCTTGTGCAAAGTGCTTGAAAACATTGACAAATTCAAAATGTTTTTCACAAACCAGCTTGCAGTGCCAAATTGTCTTTTTTTGTTACCACCCTGAAGAGGCAGTCATGTCTAGTGCTTAGAGCATTTAAATTTAGAGATATGATTCCTATTCTCTGCTGCTTTGCTGTTCTTATATATGCTTTTACACAAGTTACTTCCCTTTGTTTGCTGCCCCCACTTTTCTGTCATGTCTGTTTATAATTCAGTCTTGGTAGTTTTTCCTGTGATTTTGTACCAGCTTAGTTAGCATCTGGGGCCCAGATTTCTCTTGCATTTATTCAAATGGAAAGGTCAGAAAAAAGAACCTTCTGCTGGTACAAAACAATCCTGATAGTTCTGAAGGTTACCAACGTAAATGAATTTTAAAATTGACAAGGTCTTCTGGTGTTAACAGAGCTTTGTCAGCCCAGGCTATGGCTGAAAATAGCAGCTCTGTTCTTTCACCTCTACATTGCTCCTGACTTTTACCTTGTCCTTCTCCTAGGAATCACCTGGGACACACTACTGAAGTTCTGTGCTGCGTTCTTGTCACCCAGCACTATAGCTAGAAAAGTATATGGAGGGGGGTTCCTGGCACTGGTTCTGCTCATCATGTACAGGTGAGTGCTGAAAGCTGAACTTTTCCTGAATGTGTGACAGTCACTGTCTCAATGGAAACCTTACTGCCTGTTAATTATCCTTAGCCTTTGCTTCTGCCTCTCTTTTCTCTGCTGAACTTGTCAGACATCATCAAGCCCAATCCTAAACCCTCACATTTGATTAGATTCAGCATCTATGTCCCAGTAATGCATTATAAAACATTTTTCCATTGCAGGGAATCTTTCTTTTATCCCAGCACTCAGTGTCAGCACTATTCTCCTCCAAACCTGCAGTTCAGTGGTTTCTGATTTTAGTCCCCATGCTAGAAGGTGCTAGATCCCTCAAATACAGGCAAATTCTTCATTGCTGTACATTTTCTCAGCTGGCTTTTCTCCAAAGCTGTTGCTTTCTAAGAGAAAATACCACCTGTGATAAAACTGTGTGCTATGTATATATTGTGTTCAGCAGAGATTAGAAGGTCCCCAGTGGAGCTTAGAGCAGCCCAAAACCAAAGGTCTCATAGGACATCTGTATGGACTAATCTGCAATGTTCTTGAGACAGAAAACTGTGCAGTCCCTGATGGGCAATTGGTTTCTTTCTACAGCTTCTACCTCTTCCATCCTCTGTCCTATGGGATGATAGGACCCATGGCCTCTGACCCTAGCAGCCCCATGGCAGGGCTCCGGTGGATGGACTCCTGGGAGTTCTAGAGCCAGCAAAGGGAGCCTGGGAACAGCGGATGAGAAGCACGAGATCTGCTGCATGTCAGGCTGATTCTGGTGCTTTGGAGTCATGTGACTGTAAAATGTTCTCTCTGGAGAACTCTGGGTATAGTAGCCCTGTTGCTTTGGCATTTGTTTGCACTGCCTGCATTGGAAGATGCAGAGGATGACCATGAGAAGGTCTTCTTAAAAAGACTCATGTCCTGAATCCTTAGGTTATATTCCTGGACAACTGGCTGCTTAAATCTCAATTCTTTCGAGCAACATATATCAGTCAAACAGCAGTGGCATTTCAGCAGTCAGACCAGTACAAGTTGGAGGCTGTGTGTAGTTGCATGTTCACATGTATGCACGTGTCTTCCTTCCTGTAATCTAAACACCGTTACAGTTTGAGAGCCAGACAGTGTCTGAGACATTAGGACTTTCATCATGATTAACAACCTTTCTTATGGTGAGGTTTTTGAAAGCTTCATATTGGCATCTGGGGACCTCCATTCTACCCTGCCCTGGCTGTCTGCATTTTTTTTATTCTGACCCTGAATTTTTACAGTGTGACTGAACAGGGTCTACTTGACATCTCCTGAGCCACTGTGCCTTGCCTGTCTCCCAAGCTCTCTGCAGACAGAGGAGATGGAGATTGTTTATCCCTGCATACTGCCTTGCTTCCTGGTCACCTTTAATAATTGATAAGAATCACCTAGCAGGCCTGTGCTCAGAGCCAGACTGTTCCAGCTCAGCACTTTGTAGCTTCTTTGCAGTTCTGTCTGAAACTGCTAAGGAAATTACAGTGGAAATAGCAGGTGATTTATTTTCTGCCCCAGTATGCTGTGAAGAGCAGCTTCTTGGGTGTGTACTACAGACTGAAATGATAGCTTGGAAATTTTACAGACAGCTATCATTCATCTTTTGATCCCAGCTATTCCAGTGCCAGTACCTGTGCTTTTAGGGGGAAGGCTTCATCTTAATGAATGTAGCATCTGCAAAACTGGCTGTCAGTGCCACGGTATCTGCTCACTGTATTCCAATATTGAGCAAGTTCCCTCTCATAGATAGCTGAACATCAAATTACTGTATTGAAGGAAATGTGAGGCCAGGCAAAAATTCTTTGTCTGTTAAGTGTCAAGAGCCATTGGATGTTGAATCTACCCCCTCCAAAAAAGCGGAATTCTATTTATCAGGTGCCTTTCTCCAGTGTTAGGTCTATTTTTGTAAATGTTCCTTTCATTCCATCTCGTACTCTTCACCCAAGTTAAATTTCATGTCACAGTTCAAGGTTGCTACCTTGTAGCATCCCACATGAATGACCCCAGCTGTGTTCCTGTCTCAAGAAGTAATATTTGCAAACTCTTTTGTGTATGTTTCAAGGAACTCAAGCCTTTCATTTCAGAGTTCTTGGTCTGCTTCTCAGCCTTGCATCAAAATTACAGTTACAAGGAGAGCAGCAGGTGAGTGTGTCTGTCTTTAAACATGAACCGTGCGTTCATTTCTCTTGCCAAACCTTGAATCCTAATGTATTTCCTACAACACAGAAGGGCTGCATTAGCATAGTTGTTCTGTGGGGGGGACTAAGACTTCAGTCAGACTTGCTTTCATTCCTCTCTAATAGAGATCCATAGCATTGTTCAGTAAGGCAGCTGCTTGCTATTGTTAAGGCTCTGGCTTAGTATGTCACATCTCTCTCTAGAAGTTGACTCCTACAGACACTAACTCAGATGGTATGGACCTATGCTTTTGATTCTAAAGGTTTTGAGTTAATCACCTGCTGGTAATGCATGGTGGGAAGTCATTGCACTAATTAGCTCCTGAGTTTGATGATTCTTTTCCACTTGCTATTGCAGGAAGTGCTCCCACCTGCATGAGCCAGGGGTTCGTGGAGGTGATATAATGCAAGAAGGATGAGGGAGAAGGCTGCAAACTTCTTCAGATCCTGCTTGATCTGACAGAAGCTGCAAATTGTTAACTGTTGGCAATGTGGCACACAGGCAGCGCAGTGTTGCCTTTGTAGCAATATGATTCAGCACCTTCTACTCTTGGTGAGATTATTGGCTTAATACCTTGCTATCCTGAATATGAGCTTTCCCTAAGGTAGTCCCATTGCCATGGGGAGGATTTGCCAGAAGAGCTGATAAAAGCCATGATTTAAAGTGCAGGGTTTTTTCCAGCACATACAATCACACACTTGCCCTTAACAACAAAAAAACCTAAGAAACTTGTGAGTGTTTTGGAATGACAGTTTCTAACACTCTTTATTCATCAAATTAAATCTGTGGGAAAGCAAAAATCAACTCGGTAACCTTGGTTACTTCAACTATTATGAAGAGGTCAGCTTTGTAGGAGCTGCCTGAGGAAGATGAACCAGTGTGTTCCTTGGCCAGGGTCCCTGTATCCTTTAGTACTAATAATTTTTAGGCTGAGGATTGGCAGCTGAGTTTGGGGATTGGCCAGCTGAAGGTGCAAATGTCATGCTCCCATCCCAGCTTCTGTTTCAATACAGGCAAAGGTTTATTTTTCTTTAGGACTGCCATTTCAGAAATCCTCTGAGAGCACTTGATTGGCATTGAGACTAATCTATTTCTTAGGCCTTTTATGCTGGTAAGGGGATGGAGGCATACAGTGAAAAAAATCTAGCTATTCCACAAGAGGGAGCAACCTCCAGCAGAATCTTTTTTTTTTTTTTTTTAATCTGGTGTTAAAAGTATTAAAAGTTCTACATTTGAAGACTAGAGGGCAGACATTTCCTCTGCACCCTCTGGACTCCAAGGGTTGGGTTTTCAAGTAAGCGTAAATTGATGTTGGTCTGTTTTCTTTCAGGAGAACAATACCGAAAAATTATTTTAGTTAGGATTTGGCCTTCAGTATTTGCCTCTCAAAACACAACCTGTCAGGCCATAGTTGGAACATGATAGTAACCAGTATTTTGTGAGGTCAATAAAAGACGATAATTGGGATTCCCTTGCTGACTCTGACTTAAAATGTCTGAGTGGTGCAGACATGAGGCAATGGGTGCAGGGTACTCTTTGCTTTCTGAATGGAATTTGGGCTGCTTCAGTTTTTCCATTTGTGCTTGTGGAATGAGTTCAGGTTCATTTTGAGGACTGCTTATTAGTCCTCTTCCCCAGTCATGTGGAAAATAGCTAACAGTGCTTTCTGACGCTGGAAGATGCTGTTCTCTGGTGCAGCTGCTCTCTTTGAGCTTTGCTCGACAGGGCTCCTTTTATCACTGGCAAAGTATTTCATCAAACTGTATCCGTGGATTCAAATCACAAAAAGCTGCAGGCTGCCATGTTCCCCGCTTCAAATTCCTTTTTATGTGTAAACTCTGTTTTCACCTCTGCAGTCTTTGGAGGATAGATAGAAGGCCTTTTGGCTCATCTAGCTTCGTCCTAGACTAGACAATCCATCCATCTTAAAAGGTTTGTGTTAACAGTCGCTTCAGGACTCTGATGCATGCACGCCTATTCCAGCAGCAGGGACTGGCCTATTTCCAGGAACTGGACTACTCATGCTATGAGACAGAAATGTGACTGAATGGAGATTCCTGTACCAAGGTTGCCCTTGGTCCAGGTAGAGGACTTTGTGTCATGCACTGCTTACCAGCATCGTTCACAGCCCTGTGGGTGGGAGACCCACCACCACTCTCTCATCTGCAGAGAGTTTTCTTTTTGCACCTTGACTGGAAGGGCTTATTGATGCACAAAGGGCATTGACAGGATCTACCTTCTTATATCTCCCTCCTTCCTCCTGCTTCTTCAAGTATGCCCAAAGTACAGGACATGCCTTTGCTTCTCCTCCAAATTTAAGGCTGTGCATCCCTTTCTTATGGGTGTCTGAACAAGGGGTAGGGCAGGACACCTCACAGTATCCTGAGTGGATGAATACCTGTCACATGCACTGAGAGCAAAACCAGAAACTTGTTATGGAAAAGTAAACTAATGTGTTATTTGACAGTTCCCTCCTGTCCCTCCTTTATCCATCTGAGCATTGTTTTTGAGGGACTTGAGAGTGAACCAGCTGTCAACATAGAAACACAGGCATTTACCTGAAATTCTCCATTGCCATGCTTAGCAGTTTCCGTTCCAGAGGCCGTGCCTTTTGTGACTTACATTCTGGGTTGGCACTCTGTGTGCAAATACCATTATAACACTGTTTCCTCCTCTCAGGATCCTGCTGGCAATGTGAAAATCTCCCTAGTGGTACCCTGTGCCTCCACCAGCTGGGAAATATAGGTAAGATTTTTTTTTTTCCCCCTTTACAGCGAGTGGCCCCACACATTAGCAAGTGTGTGTCATGCAAGCAAAAATGTGTGGACTGTTAAAACATCATAACGCTCTTTCCTGCTGGGAAAGGACGGCTGAGGGTAAGAACACCACCTCCATAGCACACTGCTCTCTTTGGGGGGCTGTGGGCTGCAAGCAGTCAGGACTGAGAATTGTCTCTGTCTTTTTTGAAGTGCTAAGACCTTGGTTGCATGGTTGGTTGTGAGTTGCTTTACTTTTTAAACTCCCTTATACTCTTTACTTGAATGTCAAGGGCTACAGTTTCACAAATAATATCGGAGGTAGGTGACATACTAGCACAGAAACCACTCCTGCTGAATTTGTAATTGGTCCTAAGACTGCCAAGTGAGTTTATTGTGTTTTACAAGAGATGCTGTTCAGAGCCGTCCTTGGAGAACTTGCCCCTGACTGAGCAAGAGTTTGGAGCAGCAGTGACAGGGATTCTTTTGTAATTCTGTCCTGTATTCTGAACCTTTCTTACTAATGCTGTGTGTATATGTGTGTGCGTGTGCATCTGTCCATGAACTGAATGTCTTCTAAGGTGTAATTACTGCACCATACGGTGTGGATGGGAGACTATTTCCTTGAGCTATAACTGTATTTTGTACAGGAGATAATGGAAAATGAGGTAGAATTTGGAATTTAATTTTGTAATAAATACTTCTTCTTTCAACCATTCTCTTTGCGTCTAGATCTTGGGGTGTTTTTTTTCCCCTTTCCTCTCTCTCTCACATGCCCCTTGAAGTAGCAACATGAACTTTAAATGGACCCATTGGAAAGTTTGATCTAGGACAATGGTGATCTATATCAGCTTTTAGCACACAAATGTTGCTGGACTGCAATTCTAGGAGGTCAGGTTTTACTGCACTCCAAGCAATGTGCTGATAAGCACAGCAGGAAGTGAAACTGGTACATTTGGATGAGAATAAAGTACTGTCAGTTCAAGCAGGTTTATTTCTCCATGTTAAAGATCTGTTAAATTGTAAATATGTATAGTATGTCAGGTTTAATGGGTATATTCATCAAGCTTCTAGTAGATTGCCTATGAACACTTCATCTGACACATCAAGCACTTTATTCAAGAACACATTTTTCTATAAGTCATTCTTCTGTTGAGTGTGTAGTGTCCATAACATCAGACTGATGCACAATTTTGTACAAATGAGGCCCTTGCGGTGAACTAAATGTGAGAGTCTGTAATAAAACTGGAATGCTGTAAATCAGAATCTGGCTCTATGCCAGGCTGTAGTGACAGGGTAGCATATACTTTTGAGTGTAGTGTAACCAAGGGGTTGCCATCCTTGGGGTGGAACTAGATGGGGAAAAACAAAATACAGCCTTCTTATTTGGCGCTACACATTGATGCCCAGATCAGTGCTGGAGGAGAGCCAAACCAGTCTGTTTAGACATGTTCCAAGGGCTGCTAAAGTAAAGCCAGGACAGCTAGAAACTGGACTATGGACTGCACAAGGTGATACAATAGGCTAATAGGTAGTTACTGAAAAGCCTGTTGGCATCTTGTATTGCTTCAGAAAGTGCAAGTTGGTCTTTGGATTTGTCTGATCAGGGCTATTGTTCCGGAAGGAAGGACTGCTGATACAGAAGCTGTGCTAGAGCGTAGGGACACCACCGTAAGGAAAAGGCATGAAGTATTGTTCAGAAAATGCTGATAATATCTGAAGTAAAACTTTACTTCTCGCTGCCCTCTAAAGGAAGAATGGGTTCTTTCTGCAGGGAAGTGATCTGGCGTGTGTGAACACTGGTGACTGATTTCATTTGCATTTGATTTGAACCTGCCAGGTTTCTAGCCTTCTAAATTCCAGCCATCATTCTGTTACATGGTCCTCAACAAGAATGAGGCTTTTTTATAACCTGGTGTTTTAATACAGATTTTGTGCTCTGTCTTCAAGCCGCTGCTTAATCTTCTTTTTGCTAACCAAATAGAAATTTTCAATGCAGGTTGCTTTCTCTAGCCCTCAGTCTCCCATGCCTCTTTTCTCATTTTCTTCAGTTTACCCATATGGCTTCTCAAACTGTATAGTGTCTTCCAACATCAGTCTCCCCAATTCCATCTGCTGAAATAAATTTTCATTGCTCCTACCACTGCTTCCTGGTTTACATCCAAGGATTGTGGTTGTTGTACACTTTGGAGTTGTTTTCTAATACACCATATCTAACTCTGTAGCTCTGGCCCATGTAATGCACGCTCTGGAAATAGAAAAGTTTGTGCTTTATCTGAATGGGCATAGTCTACTGAGTGTTATGATTGCTGTAAATTGCTTTGTCCATGTTTACCATTCTTGCAGTCATTGTTTTATCTCCAGATAGTCATCCTGCTGTCTTGCAGCTGACAAAAGGTAGTTTGTAGGCTTCATTCATCTGACCTTCCCCCCCCCCCCCCCCACAGGTTTTTGGAAAAGGAGGTTTTTACGACCCTCGGTTTTTCCTTTT